AGAAAAAGAAAAACAGATTATGCAGGAGGGAGATGCAGGGAACAGGTATTGGGTGTTCTGCAAAGAGAGTTGGAGGTAAATAATTTTGCAGTAACTGTTATGCTGATGTTGTGGCTGGTCAAGCAAATGTTTGTGCTTGTTTCTAGATGATATAATTGTTCATATATCTATTAAAATACTGATAATCTGGTCAATAACTCCTCCCCGAACTTCCCTCTGCCCTCTATCTTGGTCTCTCATTGGCTGTAGGTCATCGCCGGTGTGTTTTTCAGTCAGAAATCATTGCACACTGCGTGATTGTGAATGATTTTTTTTTTTTTTTGCATGCCAAATTTTTTTCGGGGGTGGGCGGCGTGTGGGCGATTATGCCGAGTTCACACTGCACGATTTTCAAACTCGTCAGATCGCCGTTGTTTTCACACTGCGTGCCTATCTGGGGCGAGCATTCAGTTGCTGCTGTGTTCACATTGCACGATGGATCGGCGACAGGGGGTTTCACACTGCATGACTTCACAATAGGAAGAATCGCTGACAGCTCTGTCTGGTCCACAAACTACGTTTCACAACAAAACACACGCGAGAAGTGATAAGGAAATAACGCGAGAACCCACGTGCGTCAGACCGGAGTTCTCGAGCGAGACTGTAATTATTAAAAAATTTAAAATAAAATAAATGTATATATATATATATAGCCCGCAAATTGTCTGTGAGCTGATTTCCAGCTACAAGGAGAAAAAGAAAAACAGATTATGCAGGAGGGAGATGCAGGGAACAGGGTCTGGGTGTTCTGCAAAGAGAGTTGGAGGTAAATAATTTTGCAGTAACTGTTATGCTGATGTTGTGGCTGGTCAAGCAAATGTTTGTGCTTGTTTCTAGATGATATAATTGTTCATATATCTATTAAAATACTGATAATCTGGTCAATAACTCCTCCCCGAACTTCCCTCTGCCCTCTATCTTGGTCTCTCATTGGCTGTAGGTCATCGCCGGTGTGTTTTTCAGTCAGAAATCATTGCACACTGCGTGATTTTGAATGATTTTTTTTTTTTTTTGCATGCCAAATATTTTGCGGGCGTCGGCGACGTGTCGGCGATTCCCTCAGATCGCATCTTTGATAATTCACGCTGCGTGATTGTCACTCACGTGAACAAGCACCGATTTGCCTCCGATGTCGGGCATTTGTCGGCGATTTCGCAAAACCTGTCAGCGAGTGAAAAATCGGGCTAATATCATGCCGTGTGAACTCTGCATTAGTTACTTCAAAAACAGCGATTTTACCCCCTCATTGCAGAGAAATATAAAGTTGCGAGTCAGTAGCCTGTCGAAGCTATTTTACTAATCAAAGTTTCCGTGCTGTGTTGTCGTGTGCAATAATGTGTGTGCGTGTGTCTATGAAAGCAGCGTAGCCTAGGCTTCTGCATATAGTTTTAGTTTAGCTATAAGCCCGAGCCCGACCCGAACCCGAACCTGAAGCTATTCATTAAACATTAACCCGAACCCGACCTGAAACCCGAAAGTATTTCGGGACCCGTCGGGCTCGGGTCGGGTAGCAGACCTCTAATTTGACTGTATGATAGTGTGTAAATAAACATATAAAGTGCTTTGTTACCGCCTCTACATTTGTTTAAGGCTGTTTGTACCACACATGGACTCTTCTGCAGAGATTAGGGAGGACATTTCTGCTATGCTCAATTTCCTGCTTGTCATTTCTGGGTGATTCTGTGACGATGTTAAATTATTCCCTGTGCATTTTTTTTTCTGTCTATGAATCTCCCGGTCTTATCTTCAAGCTAGAATTTCAAATTCTTTTTGGATTTGGTTGCAGCTGACTTAGAAATATTAGTCTGTGTGGACAAAGCTTTGTGAACATCCTGAGCTGTACCACGTTTAAAACACAAATGCAGAATGTTGGAATTCACTTGCAGTTTGGCTGAAGTGCTGCGATTGTGTTTTTTAATTAGACTACATAGTATTTGTATGTGTGTGTGTATAGTGTGTGTGATTGGATGTGATTTTGAATGCATATACCAGCATGCCACATCTACAGTACATCTAGACCTGCGTTTATTCATTTTGCAGACACAAATGCAAATGACGATCACTACCACACAAGCAATTCATCATAAGTGGGCACTAACATTAGAAGTGTGATACAAAGAGCTAAAGATTGCCAGAAAAGTACAATCTAATAGATAAATATAATTTATAGTACAGTACTGTTCAAATGTTTTTTAAAGTCTGTTATGCTCACCAATGCTGCATTTATTTGATCAAAAATACAGTAGAAACAGTAATATTATGAGATATTAATACAATTTAATAAAATGTTTACAATTATCTGGCTTCTATGTAAAAGCCTTTACTGTCAATTTTGATTAATTTAATGCATCCTTGCTGAATAAAAGTATTAATTTCTTTGTTAAAAAAAAACTTCTGAAAACAGTAGTTTGAACAGTAGTGTATGATAGTGAAACTTATTTGTTTACTCATTCATTCATTCATTCATTTTAATAAAGGTTTTTGTAAGGAGTAGCCTTACTTTGACTGTTGGCATCTTTCGTTTTGTTTGTTCTTGTTATTTAGGAGTAGGTTTATCTAATATGATTTATCTGATATACCACTTTCTTAGACCACTGAGGAAAAGTGCAAATCTGTGTTAAGATATTCAGCTGTAAAGAAAAACTATAAAGAATAATCTGAATCCAATCTGTCTATTATTTCACAGACATAATATTTCAACAAAATATGCCATTCTATTTACAGTAAGTTAGTAGTCTCAAACTGAACTATCTTATATCTGATTTGATGTCACTAACCTTGAAGACTTGAGGGAAATGAGTGTGTCTTCAAAAGAAACAAGTTTTGCTTCCGGGCAAAAAAAAAGTGCACCTTGATTCCAAGAAACTGTGTAAAGCCAGCCAATCAGATTAAAGCTAGTCTGATTGAGAAAATACTTGCCAATTGTTTTAGCAATATAAATCTGACGGTCAATGAACAGACTGTTGGTGGCCTGTGGGTGTGCAGTCTGAAGCTAGGTAAGGAGTATAGAAAATGCTGTAATTGGTTTTTGATCAAGTCCTTGCGGAAGAGTCATGTCTTCAGGCGTTTCATAAAGAACTTGAAGTTCTTGTAGAGCGTTTGGTTGTTAGTTCTCTTTTGGCTGTGGTGTGTTATCTTTTGTGGAAGATTTCAATACTGAATATTCCTAACAGAGTTTGTCTCTGATCTGTTGACCTCTTTGTTGTCTTGACATTCTCATCTGCTTCCTAAACATCTGTCCTTACCCTCAAATATGGATTTTTTGTTTGCACATTTTAGGAGGTTCTTTTTAGATTTGCTGATGAAATATTCTCCGTATTTTTCAGAGTCCTCACAGAGAGAGATAATTGTAGACTGAAAGTGTATGAGCTAAAACTTCATCGCTGCCTTTTGGGGTTTTTTATACTGAACTTGAGTCCAAAATGACTTTTGAATTTGTCTGTTTTTCTCTCTTTCTGCCTGTGTGCTGGATTAAACTGAATCAGGAGCGTCCAGTTGCCAGCAGCATAGCTCATCTGGAGCTGAGTGTGCAGGAGAGAGAGAGAAACAGAAGTGAGGAAGAGGATGAGATGCAGGAGCTGACCTTCGCTCCAGTACACGCCCCTGTCATCACCCTCGGAACACACGCTGCTGGGTGAGAATCAGACAGACATACATGATGATAATATGCTCATAGTTCTGACATCATTAACCAAAATGATAGACGAATGAAGATGGTAGATGATGGATGGATGGATGGATACATGAATAGACAGACAGATAGATAGACAGGTAGACAGACTTTATATATTAAATGGAATTTATAGGCTGTTTATAAAGTCTATTTATTTGTGTTTTGTGTATGTATACATAATACATTGAACTATTTCTTTTCAAAAGAGTGAGGAAAATCCTTTTTTCCATGATATATCCTCTTTAGAACATTACTCTATATCTCCATCATGCATGAATTTGCTGATTTCTCTAATGCCAATTTCTCTCTCAATGTCCCTCTCTGTTGCCATTGTTCCATTTTCAAGACACCAGCACATTTGTTTATGTCATGTTTATTTTAGCTGAAGTATTTCGGGGCCCGGTCTATTTTTATATGTGGGCTTGTGCTGTCCTTTAAAAGTGGCAACAGTTCTGCTGAAGCTGTTAGTTGAGATGGCCATTTAAAGTCTGTCGGAGTGCAGAGTTGTCATTCAGGAGCTGTTTGGTGTCTGTTCATCATCTGATTCTGACCAAAGACAGTTGACGGGCCAACATTATTTAAATCTGGCCCTGGAGATTCACACAGCACAAGGAACCGAAATGTGTCACATGAAACTTTATTTAAAATAAGAACTCTGATTTGAGTCAGTTGTCATATCTGATTGAGATCTTTGAAATTAAAATTGAAGTCTAAATTCTAAGCTAGCTGGAATGAATTAAGTTCTTACATTCTACTGCAGGTGAATTCAAATGATATTTTTTTCTATGTGAGGGACCTTAATTTGGTCAGATTTGTATGCCTGTATTTTATGAAGAGCTCAGACAATCACAGACAAGGACAGAAGTTCTTTTGACTTCCCTGAGACATTGTGACAAAACATTTACATAATACATATCTTGTCTCTTGTTCTAAGGGTTTTAAATGAGTTGCAGGTAATGAGTCCAATTCCCTGAAGTCTGTTGTCATTATGAGAAGCCAAATGTCATTAAAGATGCAGTTTTGAGATCAAGTTTGTAATAACTAGAACATAAAAGACCTTTAGATATGATAATTTTATTTATTTATTTAATAATTACATTTTTAATTAATTTAATCATGCCCACTAAACTCAATTATGGTATGGATTGCTGTGGACTCTATGGGCCAGTTATAGGATAATGTTCAATAATAAATTGAATTGAATTAAAATGTAATTTAAAAAAATATATTTATAAAATACATGCGCACATACATAAATAAATAAAGCCCATTTTATAATGTTTATTCAGTAATTTTGTCCGCCACAATAATGTTTTGAATTATCTTCATTTGGGGGATTTTCTCAGCAAATATTGATAGTGCTAATTAACAGGGATTTTTATTAATCAGCTTATCATGTAATTCAATATTTTTAATTTAGTATACCGATCATGCATTAATAATGCATACAAATAAAGTTAAAGAAATGATTACCAAAACAGAAGATTGTGTCTCTTTTATTCTCTGTCTGCCTTTACCTTTTTTTATGTCTCTCTTCTTTCTCTTTCAGTCTTAATCTTTTTTTTTCTCGCTATATCCTGGTAAAAATATTTTGGGCAGGCGAGTGTGAAAATAATAAACAAGGCTTATTAATGTGTAATTCAGCAGAAAATTACCATGATCCATAGATAATATTATATTCCTCTTTGTCTGTGGTAATTAAAAGCCTGGTATAAGTGTAGGCTTAATTACTGTGTCTCCTAATTAGTTGTTAGTCACTGGAAGAACACATTAAAGTCCTGCTGTTGTTAAGCTCACATATATTTTTGCTTTTCTTATTGTTGAAAAAGGGCTTCATACAGCTTCAGTACAGGGTCAAATATTTTTACTGAGGAGCCATATTGATCATAGAGGGTGTATAAACAGGGAGGATGAAATGTTTTACATATATTTATTTTGATTTTAAGATTATTACAATTAAAAAAAATTTTTTGTTTGGAATAATATGCATATTTTATTAAATCATAATAAGACTTGCACTAAGGAAGTAAACAGTCCATTTTTACATCATAATGTCTTTTATTTTCCTTATTCAGATTTCCCATATTCTACCTGAGTTCAGCAGTAGATATAAGCTCTAGCAATGAAACTCTAAGGCTGTATTGTTCTCAGATCTGTACTGACAGCAGGCAGATTGTAGTTCTGCATTGTTAAATAAACTAGACACATATATGAAAAAATCCACCATTTTATATCTTGTGCTGTAAACTTCTGTGCAACAGCTGTTATACCACCCACGTTTTATTGTATTTGCTCTGTTTTGCTTTCTCTTGGTGCGATTTTCTTTCCGTGTCTAACAGAATATATTTCAAGTGCTTTTATGTGCAAGCATGCAATTCTTTCAGGAAAGAAGTCATTTATGGAGTTCTTAAGAAAGTGGTGCTTGATATAAGCCTCATAAAACCATGGATGATATTTCATGTGTGAGATGCCATTTAAGATATCACAGCAGGACATATTACAGATCACTCCAGATTATTTAATTGTAGCTCTGACATTTGACACAGTTGTACATGTGAAATACTGTGATGACATTTGGAATGTATCTGATAGCGCACAGTAGGCTGCCACATCTGTTTACTGATCTGTGTCCTGTGTTGTCTTGACAGCATTTGGCAGTTCATGCGCTTCAGGTATAGTACTGTAACTAAAAATCTGTGTCGCACACAGAACTGAATAAGACACAGTATGGCAGATGTTCAGTAAGAAAATGCTTAGGTAATTGGAGAAAGCTACATTAGCATTGCAAATGTCATGAAATTGTATGGCAGCCTGTGTTTTTTTTTTGTTTTGTTTTTTTAACTGTACATGTGTGATTTGTCTATCTCAGCTCCTCCAGATCAACCTCCCGGAGATCTTTGGCACAGCTCTTCTCCTCTGGTTTTCCTCAGATCCTGGACATTCAGAACCAGGTGGCCGAGGTTCTGGATCCTTCTGAGCCTGTGAACTTTAACCCCCAGAGAGAAGAAGCAGATCCTCTGCAGGCCAACTCTCTCATTATTCAGTTCTTGGCTTTTACCAGGTAATTCTGAATGTCAGCCATAGCAACACTGGTTGCATTTTATAGTTTGCAATCTTATTTTTTGTTCTAATGTGTTCTTTTCCAAGGTGTTTTTTTATGTGTGACTTATATATTCATGTATCTACGGTAATACTCTGCTTTTATCTGTGAGCATTAAAATTAGCATTTAAAAAAATTATTTTCTGCATCTTTTCACTCAAAAATGATTAACTGAAAAGGTTTTATGCTTGTTGAACACACTGTCACAGGTTACTTCCTTGCATGCAATCTATTTAAATTGTAGACGTGTCTGGAATGACACAGACATATTGGAAATTAATGTGAATGTTATTTAATTTTTTCTAACATCATCCATCTGGAATAATGTTGTTTAAGTACTCTACTAAATTAAATCATTTATTTCAATTGGTTATTTGTGTATTCCAGGAAAAGCTGTTCATAGCAGTGGGAAAAAGGCCAAAAATTGCATTGAAAATGTATAATGGTATTAAGAAGTAATATAATTTTTTATAGTGAATTACAAAATGCCTTTATCTGCTTAAAAAGATTCACAGGCAGGTTTGTTATAGAGCAGTATGTTCTAGTCTACAGCCTTTACGAGCAGTGCTGAAACACTAGCTATAAAACAGGAGATGTCAGATCCTTTATTTCAATAGTAATGCAGCTCTTCAAGTGTTGGTTCAGGGCCAAGCATCTCTGGCTAACTTATCTCTGCCTCCAATCAGCCAATGTCCATATATCACTCAAGTATTGATGCTAAGAAACGGCACTTGTCAAGTGTGCTTGTGACAGACTGAGGCACCTCTCTGTTCTCAGATCAGGCATTGATAGATTTAAAGCACACTCTCCCTCTCCCTCTCTTTCTCTTGTATCTCTCTCACTGTCTCTGTCAAATCGTTGTATTTCTCAAATGGGAGATAAGGTGATGAAATGGGTCTCTTTTCAACCTTGAGATCCATTTAACACATTTAATACAAAATAACATACAAGAATAATACATTTTAATAATCATTTATTATATATAATACATTTTAATTGTGATATTGCTTAATGGCCATGATTTAATACAGTAAAAAAGTCAAAACACTTACTAAAAAATGCTATATTTTATTTGCGATATTTTAAATCCCCGGTTTAATGCATTTGATTAACCTGTTTTATACTGAATTTATGATATCATGTAATATTAATAGATGTAATTGATTAATAGCCCAAATAATAATATAAATAATTGACAAAGTAATTAAATAATAGCTGTATTAATATAATGTTGATATCAACAGTGAATACCAGTCATAGTAATATTAAAAATAATATAATGTTCAATATGTTATTGAACATTGTAATGCCCCATATAAAGTCTTAATATGAGGTTATTGTAAAGCTCTACATTTGAGATGTATTTATTTCTTATCTACAATTTTATGTAAGTGAAAGAGGGCAAACATTTTAGGCTAATGGATTGGATGGATTGGTTAAACATTTTTTTTCTAAATACTCAGTAAGAAAGCTGGTGAGTCTACTGGTTAAAGGTAGATGGAAATACCTGAATACATTTTCTGTTTTGTAAAGGAAATAAAACTGTGATTTATCTGCTAAATGAATCTCAATATTATTGTGCATGTGTGTGCATTCTGCATTCCCTCTCAGAAATTTCCTCTCACCATGCTGAGCTATCTATCCCTTTGTTTACCAGATGAATATAAATGTGAAATCCTTGCGTAGTTGTAAGGCATATTCTTTTAATTGAGGAATTCAAGTCATTTGATTGGCTCAGAGGTCAGAACTGACAATTTAAGTGAATAGCACTTAAACTCTAAAATTGTGACGTGATCGTGCTCAGTGGGCCTGTCAACTGTCCGCACTCTAAATAGTTTATATCCTTATCTAATTCTGAGTGATTGATTGCTACTCTTCCTCACAAAGAGAAAAGAAAGCAATCATCCCTCCCTAATCTATCCCTCCACTTTTAATTCATTCTGCTGAGGATGGAGACGAACTCTTCACACTACCCTGACAGCTCTCAAATGTCACCTTGGACTTTGATTAATTAATTTGTATCCTTTCATTTAATTATTTATATCATTTGTTTATCCTCTTGTTGATGTAATGGCAGCCTAGGGTTCTAAACCCATGTTGGCTTTTAAACCTTCAGGTTTGAATGATTGAACCCATCGCCCCTGAGCTCCTGGTGTTGAATGAAGATGTTTCTTCAGGTGTGGAGCAGTTCAGTGATGGATGATTATTGCTTACATAAAATGCAGTGGACCATTACTGGATGGAAATACTGGATAATTAAATTGATTTAAAATATTATGTTTTTAAGGAAGTAACTTCTCCCCAAAAGTCCTGCTTCAACAAATCACAAATAACTGGATTTTTTTTTTAATTGATTTTTCTCTACTGTGAAGGAGCCACAGTGCAATGAATTTGCAAGGAAGTTATTGATTTTGCTTTCAGGAAATGCTGAAGCTCCACATGATTAAATGGGAAGTTTTGTTTTATGATTGACCTGCTCTTTCTGACTTCAAAAATCTCTGAAGCTTTTCAAGCTCTAGCACAAGGATACTGTTTTATTGTTTTTAATTAGGTTAATTAGGTTTCAGTCTGGCAGTTATTCTTTAATAACATTTATTAATATTATTATTAACTTATAGCATTAACTTTATTAATGCTAGTGTTAGAATGGTTAATGATTGCATGTTAGTTTTAGGTGTAGGGTTGTTATAAATTTGTATTTATTTGTTTATTATTTTTGTTCACGTTTTGTTTTTGTTTCGCCAAAAAGTTATTATTAATTTGTTTTGCGTTTAAATACATTAAATACATCATCTGACTAATGTCAGAAGTATGGAAAGGCCCTTTTTGCAGTGAGTTTTAATAAATGGAAGGAATTTTTTGTTTTGAAAGTTACAGTATGCTTTCATAGTTCAATAAACTTCTTCATCTAAAAAAGATCAAGGACATTTTGATTCCTTGGGATATGACCTCTGTTTTAAAAAAAAGTTTAAATGACTAAATCTGTCTAAATCTGTGTTAGTGAGCACTTCTCCTTTGCCGAGATAATCCATCCACCTCACAGGTGTGGCATATCAAGATGCTGATTAGACAGCATGATTATTGCACAGGTGTGCCTTAGGCTGGCCACAATAAAAGGCCACTCTAAATGTGCAGTTTTACTGTATTGGGGGGTCCGGGGGCGTCCGAAAACCAGTCAGTATCTCATCTGCCCTGTACAGTGAAAACCGGGATTCATCTGTGAAGAGAACACCTCTCCAAAGTGCCAGACGCCATCAAATGTGAGCATTTGCCCACTCAAGATGGTTACGATGACGAACTGCTGTCAGGTCGAGACCCCGATGAGGACGACGAGCATGCAGATGAGCTTCCCTGAGACGGTATCTGACAGTTTGTGCAGAAATTCTTTTACTATGCAAACCGATTGTTGCAGCAGCTGTCCGGGTGGCTGGTCTCAGACGATCTTGGAGGTGAAGATGCTGGATGTGGAGGTCCTGGGCTGGTGTGGTTACACGTGGTCTGCGGTTGTGAGGCTGATCGGATGTACTGCCAAATTCTCTGAAACGCCTTTGGGAGACGGCTTATGGTAGAGAAATGAACATTCAATTCACAGGCAACAGCTCTGGTGGACATTTCTGCAGTCAGCATGCCAATTGCACGGTCCCTCAAAACTTGTGACATCTGTGGCATTGTGCTGTGTGATAAAACTGCACATTTTAGAGTGGCCTTTTATTGTGGCCAGCCTAAGGCACACCTGTGCAATAATCATGCTGTCTAATCAGCATCTTGATATGCCACACCTGTGAGGTGGATGGATTATCTCGGCAAAGGATAAGTGCTCACTAACACAGATTTAGACAGATTTGTGAACAATATTTGAGAGAAATAGGCCTTTTGTGTACATAGAAAAAGTCTTAGATCTTTGAGTTCAGCTCATGAAAAATGGGGGCAAAAACAAAAGTGTTGCATTTATAATTTTGTTCAGTGTAGTTACTATTGATCTGGTGGAAAGCATTTGGAAAGTGGTGGAATAAGTTTGTCATGGTGTGACTTTCCATTATTGCATCGCTGATACTGGTTCTTTATGAAGGAGTCACTCACACTGGCTCTTTATCATTGAGTCACTGAGATTTGCTCATCATTGTGAAGTCACTCAGATTGATTCTTCATAACAAACCACCACCAAAGGACTCCGAATATTATCTCTTTTAAATCATTTGCAATGTCCTCACAGACCCAGTTGTATCTCAATGAATGTCATCATTGCTTTTCAATTATGCCACATTCCCCAATGCCAATCAGTTGTCTGTCTCTCCCTAGGGTCCCTCAAGCTGGTGTGAATTCAGACTGGCCCAGCACTGTCCATTTCACCTTCCAGCTTTACAGCTTCCCCCCTGTCACCACAGAGCGTCTGAAGCTGCTTGACCTGGAAAGGAACAGCAAGCTGAAATCCAACTCTGATTACCCCTGTGTCCTCTCTGTTATCAACAAGGATGGCACACTTAGCTCTGGTATGATTACCATCCTCCTACGGATGCTTTATGATTCTCTTCAGCACTTCACAACATGTTTATTTCATTTGAATAATCGGTTGTCTTTTTTTAGAAGCATACTTGAAAGCAAATGTGTATTTATAGCACTCCTCAAAATTGCCAGTATCACTTTTTTTGTTCTATTGAATTCGATCAATGTCTGTGTTAAACTTTATAGCCGTTTTTAACCGCAACGCATGCAGTGTTTTAGTGAATAAAGCTCTAAAAAATTAGCAATTAGAGTTTTACGGCTCTTGGCTGAAGTCCAGTAATTGCTTTTAAGAAGGAGTCTTCATACACCGCAGCCTGCTGAGGAGAAGTGTAAAAGCGGCGTGACTTTGTGATGAACTTGGTCATGCTGAGAAAACAGTTTTGGCTCTGTTGGTTCATACGGCTGCCAAAAATACTTATTACCTGTCCCTGATGCGAGTTATTTTTATCAATAGTTTCTCACAGATTGTCAAAAGCCGATATTTCAAAGCACCTTAAAATGTTGAGCTAAGAGCACTTCAAATACACTTTTCCCACTGCCGGAGTGGGGCTTTTTGCTCTCATGTTATACCATGAAAATTTTGGCTAAAGCTCATTGCCTTGATTTATTTGTGTTGCAAGCAACATCTTGCCTGAACAAAACTCCCACTACGAGGGAAAACTGTAGCTGTACAGTGATTTCACCAGCTGTTGCGTTGAAATGGCCTTTACTGATTGGCTAGTTAAAGTATCCGATGAGGTGGAACATACATGACATGAGAACGTGTCTGTCTCATGATGAGTAGGCAGCCTCTCATTTGCCTACAGCAACCAGCTAAGAAGAATGAAGGACTAGACCAGTGGTTCTCAACCTTTTTTACTCCAAGGCCCCTGTCTCACTGCAGATATTCTTTACAACTTAAAAGTGCTTAAAAGTATTTAAAGCTCAGTTATACAGTAACTTTAACAAATAAGCACAAGTCAACCTGCCATACCGAACAAGACCACAGGGAGATGCCAAATCTAATCTATAGACAAATCCAAATTGCTAAACACACCAAAATACAAATGAAAAATGAAAACATTCTGAATATGTGAAAACTCAGCGATCTGAAGGCGGGTCAACGTCATCAGTGAATAGTTCCTCTGTCAGAACAAGCAATTGTGTCTGTGTTTGGAGCGTCTGCTGCCCATATGTACAAAACACCACTGATCCTCACAAACTGCTCCAAAACACGCTTCTTCGGTGAGTTTCCGTTATAAAACACTCACTGTACATTAATTTTGACAACTACGTGAATATACTGAACTCAGTGGTGGCTGGTGGAAAATTTTCTAGGTAGGGCGCTACATCCAAGAATTTTAGCATACATCCTGGTATGATTTATCCCAGTATAACAACAAGAAAAGTATTAAGACTTGAAATATTTTAAATAAAGATAATTGTTTTACCAAGTTCAAAATTGAGGATGAGTCCCACAAAACTATATCTTCTGCAAGCTTTTTTCAAGATAAATTAAAACATTTTTTAATTTTCATAATTCACAATTTATGTACAAAGTACAAATTTAAAAAAAAAACTGTGAGGAAAAAAATAAATGTTACATTTGTTTAGAGCATTTTCTATACATATAACTACAAGTCAAGCAGCAATACCGGACCAAACAGAACCACACAGAGATGCCAACAGACCACTACACCAGTTGCCTTAACCTGAAATGTATGTGGATATATATACGGATCCATTCAGAATTATTAAACAGAGCAAAACACAAATTAAAAAAGCAAATAAAAACATTCTTAATTTGTTTGTTTACATATTAATAATAACGGACTGACGTGTCTAATAGTGTATGATTGCGTAATCATCTTTACCTCCATTACAATCATCATCCATCTAAACTTTACTGGTGAGATACTGGTTTGCTTTATTCAGCGCAAACAGGCTAGTCCTGACTACATATTTCTTATTAATAGAGGTATGTTTGTTCCCACCAATTGCTGCACAAGTTTATGTATGATGACGAAAGCACGTTAGTGCTAGCCCTCCCGGAACTCATACCCAGATAGCACACGTATGTCTGCAAGATGTCTGTTAAAGATCTCTTCATCTGGAAAGCATCTGCTGTGTACAAACATCTGATTGACGTCTTTAAGGTGTCAGTTTTACATACATTCTAAATCATAAACATCTTAAAGACATTTTCTAAACGTCTATTTGACATCTAATAGGAAACGACCTATAGACGTATTGCAGATGAGCAAACACTAAAAAATACATCTTGCAGATGTAAATGCAGACGTCAGATAGACATCTCCGTGATGTACATGTGCTATCAGGGATAGAGATTGCATTGTGGTGCCTGCAGTTGGAAAAAACTGGGAAAAAAAATCTTTGTATGGAAGTCTATGAGAACAGTTTGGGCGATTCTTGGCCAGAGTGAAATCGCCTAAAAAGGGGCGATAATCCACAGAACGTGACTTGATGATGATTGAACTATATGTCCAGAGGCAGAACAGTCTAGAACAGTGACACAGCTGTGGTTGAATGTGAAAAATCCCTCCCTTTCGCACTCATCACCATATCGCCCTAATGAAGAAACCGCCCCTGTACCCTGTATTTTGTTTTCAACAAAAATATGATGTTATAGAGATCAGTGCGCCAAGAGCGCACGTACACGGTTTGTTTACGCATCAATAATAACGGATACACGCGTACCTAATGTACGATTTACTAGGACGACACTGGCTTGCATTATCCAACCGAGAGATGTAGTTTGCGTATCTTATGCTCATGCAGTGGTCGGTGCTTTGAGCCGCCGTTCATTCTGTATTTCACAGTGTGATGAGAAAGGGCTTGAGCTGCTCCAAAACACAGAATATCACAGAATACTTAATTAATATGTTAATATTTAACATATTAATCATACAATTTGTTAATTGAATATACTTTAATTCTAAGTTATTTTGCCCCCCACCCCCAGTTAAGAACCACTGAAATAGACGATAGAGATAGAACAAAGGTTGAAGAGTTAGATAGAGTGGTGGAGAACAGAAGAAATTTTGAGAGAGTGATAGTGTGAGAGCATGACGAAGAGATGCAGGGGTAAAAGAGGATCAGCTCTAACAGTCTGCTTTCAGCCATTTTATTTCAGAAGAGATGTAATATCATACATAAGGAATACATCTAGTGTGAGTGTGCAAGCACTGTCCTCACAGTCAGCCCTGTAAGACGGGAAACTCCAACCATTTTCAGGCTAAGGACCACTTGGTGAAAATAAAGACAGAGCAGGATCCCCATTACATATTGTATAAAACTGAGTGTTACATTTTAAACCTGGTCTAGAATAGCATGTATCAGGGTTGTGCAAATCTGTCTGTCTGTCTGCCTATCTATCTGTCTGCCTGTCTGTCTGTCTGTCTATCTATCTATCTATCTATCTATCTATCTATCTATCTATCTATCTATCTATCTATCTATCTATCTATCTATCTATCTGTCTGTCTGTCTATAGATTGCACTTCTACATACTGTTTGCTACTTCAATTGAAATTAAATTAAAATTCATCAATTGAAGCAAATTTGAAAAGGTATTTAATTTAATTCTAAATGGCGCACAACCCTGATGCATATGTGACCCTGGACCACAAAACCATAGTCATAAGGGCAATTTTTAGTAATTGCGATTTATACATCATCAGAACGCTGAATAAATAAGCTTTGTATGGTTTGTTAGGATAGGACAATATTTGGCCAAGATATAACTATTTGAAAATCTGAACGATTCAATTGATTATTATGTTTTAAATATGATTATTTTTCTTACAAAAACGCATCGATTCGCTACAGGAGGACTTTGTTCACCCCCCGGAGCCGTGTGAGACACTTTTTATTATGGATGGGCGCTTTTTATTTCACTTCTTTTGGACGGATGCACTGCAACACCTGCTGACTGCCATTAAACAGTTTGAAAGATCAAAGACCATTTTAATATAACTCTGACTGGATTCGTCTGAAAGAAGAAAGTCATATACACCTAGGATGCCTTGAGGGTGAGTAATTTATGGGCTAATTTTCATTTTTGGGTGAACTAACCCTTTAAGACTGGTTTTGTGGTCCAGGGTCACATATAGAACCACATTAAAGGGATAGTTCACCCAAAAATGAAAATTGTGTCATTAATTACTCACCCTCATGTCGTTTCAAACCCGTAAGACCTTCGTTCATCTTCGGAACACAAATTAAGATATTTTTGATGAAATGTGAGAGCTCTCAGACCCTGCATAGACAGCAAAGCAACTGTAATGTTCCCAGGTCCAGAAATGTAGCAAGGACATCTGTAAAACAGTCCATGCGACATCAGTGGCTCAACTACTGTTTTGCGAAGCTACGAGAATATTTTTTGAGCGCAAAGAAAACAAAAATAAATTTTTTTTCAACAATTCTTCTCCCCCAAGTTACGTCTTCCGCCATTTTAGAAAGTATCACAATGGTTACGCGTGCTTTCCCCCAAGCGTAAATAACGCTGATTACGCAGATTACGTTCATGTGCGTGCTTTCTCCCCCGAACGTAAACAACGCTAATTACGTCGATTACACTCTTGGGTACTCTCCAAAATGGCGGAAGACGTAACTCGGGGGAGAAGAATTGTTAAATAAATTGTTATTTTTGTTTTCTTTGCACTCAAAAAGTATTCTCGTAGCTTCACAAAACTGAAGTTGAGCCACTGATGTCACATGGACTGTTTTACCAATGTCCTTACTACGTTTCTGGACCTGGGAACATTACAGATGCGTTGCTGTCTATGCAGGGTCTGAGAGCTCTCACATTTCATCAAAAATATCTTAATTTGCTCCGAAGATGAACGAAGGTCTTACGGGTTTGGAACGACATGAGGGTGAGTAATTACTGACAGAATTTTCATTTTGGGGTGAACTAACCCTTTAATGTATTTACATACTATGTTATGTGCTTACACTGCAAATAATAAAAAAATAATTACCAGTAATGTACAGTGTATATTGCATGTGGGAGAAACGATGAAACATTTACAGTAGCTTCTTTATCTTTGATTGAACTTAGTTTTTTGTTTAACTACATTTTATTTATTTATTTATTCACAAAAAATAGTTTGAGATCAAATGATAATTATCTGGCACCTTAGGGGTTACAGACCCCCTGTTGAAGACCCCTGCTATAAGGCGTTAAAGCATTATGCCACAGTGCACTTAGCTCAGCCCTTAAACCCACCTCTGGCCCGACTATACAAGACAATGAGCCATACAGTACCATAAAGATTACAGGCTGAATGATGATGTTGTGCGGAAGGCCTTTTGATGCCTGGAGGGAACATCTGTATCCTGTGGGATATGAGGCTGTTATTGTGCAATTACTGGTTGTTGCATAACATCATCTCATACCAGATTCTCGGCTGAGCATTGCACTTCTCTCCAATGAAGAAATAATATTTTTGGCTCTCTGCCTGAAGTAGTACAATGTAAAAGCAACAGTCAGTTTAACATTTTGACTTCATTAAGCATTACTGTTGCATTTGCTTGTTTTGTTTTGCCATGAATCAAAATGCATCCAGGATTTGTTGTGTTCATTTGTGTTCAATTTTGACTGTGCTCAACCCGCTTGACCCCATCAATCAGGCTTCAAATCCAGTCGCTCCACTCAAACTGCTGTTGTTTTCATAACCTCACATCACTAGAGTGTCCCTGCTTAACTCTATACTGTTTGTTTTGGATCTTTTGGGAGCATTTGATGCTACAAACAAAAAACTATTGATCTCTAAGATGGTAGAAATGCTCATTTCTAGGTCAGTGCTTTTATCCTACCTGGATGCCAGTAAGTACCAAGTCAACTGGAAAGGCTTACACGCCTTACTCCACTGGAGTTCCACAGGGATTTGTGCTTGGACCTTTACCACTTTCTTTTTACACTAGATTACTCAGATCTAAGGCTGTATGTGCACACTTTAAGGAAGGATGCATTAAATTGAAAAGACATTTATAATGTTACAAAAGATTTCAAATTTATAATGTTACAAAAGTTTTTAAAATAAATGCTGTTCTTCAACACTTTATTAAGCAGCATAACCATTTTCAAGAAGTAATAATACAAAGAAAGGTTTCTTGATTATCAAATCGTCATACTAGAGTGATTTCTAACTATATATACACAACCCAATTAATACACAATTAATACTTGTGTATTAATTCTGTTAAGGTGGCCGAAGTGTCTGTTCAGTAGAAAAAAAGCTTTAACTTGGCCACTAATCCTCATCCAGACTATGGACATGTCATGGTTTAACTACTGCACTTGCCTTTTTGCTAGTCTGTCAACATCTCCGCTATACATCAAACATGCTGCCTTGCACTTCTTTACTCTTTTTACACGTTCCTTCTTTTCTGGCCTTCCAGCATCTGCCATACATCCCATCGAGCACATCACTGATGCTGCTTTACACTTCTTTACACTACTTTAAATCATTGCTCAGGCCTTACACATAAAGTATTGGTCCAGGACCTTCTCCAGCTTTGCATAAAAACATAAATGTAAATGCAGTGTTACCCAAGCATTTTCAGAACTGATTTCTGTCATCACTTTAGAAACAGGGAAACATGTGGGAACATATAGAAAACATCAGCGCCTGCGGCACTGCCAGTGTTTGATATTCATGACTGACAGGATGTGGCACGTGCAAAAGGGATGGAGCTCAGAAATGTTTATGTAAATTTCCCACACATCTCGCTTGGTGGCTAAACCAAGCTCAGAGTGTTTGTTTTTTTACATACAAGTCCTTGATTGCTTGCTTCATAGAATTGGACATTGCATTTTCTCACCCACCTGAGATTTGTGTTAAAGATAGGTGATTTACTTCACTCTCATTCGAAATGGCCACTAAACCCATCCCTTTAATCACAAACCTTTTTTCTGTCTCTTGGTATTCATGTTTGTTCTTTCCTGTTGAACTTTTCTTTTCCTCTTACCCAGGTTGTCCTGGTCTGCAGTTGCAGTACCGAGTTGACCCGCAGTTCCTCAAGCCAGGGGAACGGGGCTGGTTCCTGCGATACCTGGCGCTTCACTCCCTGCAGATTGATGTCTGGGACAGTGAATCCTTAATGCTGATTGGCTCAGCTGCTGTGGAGCTGAAGGTAAAATGAACTTTTGCCCCACCAGCTAATAGTGGGAGTCAGTAAGATTTTTTATTAATTAATTAATTAATTAATTTAGAAATTAATAAGAAATTAATTATATTCATCATTGATGCAATAAACTAATCAAAAGTTCAATTCAATTCAAGTTTTATTTGTATAGCGCTTTTCATGATACAAATCGTTGCAAAGCAACTTTACAGAAAATATAAGTTAATTAAATTTTAAACCGTGATAATAATAAAGATTAAGAAATGTTTCTTGAGCACCAAATCAGCAGATTAGAATGATTTCTGAAGGATCATGTGACACTGAAGACTGGAGTAATGGCTGCTGAAAAATCACAGGAATAAATTACATTTTAAACATATTAAAATAGAAAACAGTTATTTTAAATTGTAATAATATTTCACAATATTTCTGTTTTTGCTATATTTTTTATCAAATATATGCAGCCTTCTTTCAAAAACATTTGAAAATCTTATCTACCCCAAACTTTTGAATAATACTGCATATTTTATGCTAAAACTCTATTTTCAGGATTTTCTTAAAAAAAAAAAAAGACATTATCTTACAGTCAAAACTGTCACAAAGTAATTAGTTACAAAGACATTTGCTCACTGAATAAGCTGACAGAATGCCAATAAAGGCATTTACATGACCTTACATGTTGTCAACATTTTTTCCATAAGGTCATGCATGTAAACATGCTCAAAAGACTCAAAGTACTGCATACCAGCAGTAATATTACAATAACCCAACTCGCCCCACATAAACCATAACAAAACAACATTACCACCCACCTCACATTCCTCTACTTGGCAACAGCCTTGCAAGTCCTCAACTTGCCATGTTGGTAATAACCCCACAAGCCATACACAGAATTTTGACACAGGTACAAATACTGCCCTCATTAATAGCCCAACAGAACTCACACAGCTGTTTCACTCAGACAGTCACCCTGCACATTGAAACCTTTCTGCGATATTCATTATTTAATGTGCTCAGATGGGAGTGTCATGTCGAAATTATGAAATATGCATGCCATACTTCAGGACACCTGCGTCTGTTAGATCCCGCCACCGCAGGTCTCTTGGCTAGAGCTCTCATCGATGACAGCTGTTGAATAAAGGTTAAAACAAAACAAGACCAGAAATAGATACAATCGCATCAACATAATTGGATTGTTCATCTTTAGCATGGATTCTGACCTTTTCAGAGTTAACAAAGGGTCCATTTAGGATTCAAACACAACCACAAGGTCGTCAGGCAGTGGCATTTGTCAGTAGCCTGTAACGTATGTCTTAGCTGCTGGTTATTTATGTTTATCTTTTTGTTCTACATGGTTAGATCAATAAAATTGATTCAGGGGGCATGACAAATTGCCTTAATTTTTAGCACAATTTTTATAATTGATCACTCTCTATTTAAAAACTTACATCGACAGCTTTAATATTAGTATTTGACATTTGTTTCTGCAGCATATGCTGCGTCAAGGCCGTGCAGCCGTCCAGGTGAACCATGAGCTGGAAGTGATCACTACTGAGTACCTGCAGGATGCCAACTTTGCCAGCAGGCATGACAGCAAGCACAGCAGCACTCCAGCCATCAGTGTCTACACTACCGTAAAAGGAATTCTGCATCTGCGGCTTGGCAACGTTGGTAAGGATCGTTTGCTAACCACCATAAATTAATGTCATTTTTAAGTAAAATACTTAAGAAAGCCATTTGTACGATTATTTCTCAGAAAAGTTTAAACATGGATTTGTGGCAATATCAACAATTTCTGTATTTGTCAAGACTGTGTGCCATTCAGAGTTGAATTTAGAAAGCCTTTTAAATTACAGTTCAATTCTTGAATTGGAAGTGAGATAAACTAGAACTAGAATTGAAATTTTGTTTTGAATATTAGAAATCAGAAGTAAAATTAGTCATTTTTACCTAGGAAATTTTGAATGAAGACCTGACACAAAGCTTGTTTTGTACAAATGTTGTACAACTGGAATTTTAAAGCTATACATGTAGATGATTGGATGGATTTATGGTTGGATGAATGGATAGATATGCTAGTGGTACAGAAATTATACACTTTGTTTTTAACATTCCTCTGAAAATTTGAACAAGAAATCAGCTTTCTGAGATGTCACTATAGTGTAAGAAGCATCCGTCGTTAGTTACCCTAACATCTGAGTTGTTTTCCACTCTGGAAATCCAAGCTGAATCAAAGCTATTCACAGGCTGTCGTCATGTTTATCTGCTTAAGCTCCTTCTTAGAGGCCCAGTGAAAATGCAAGTGTTTCTTGTGAAATTACCCAAACAGTCAGATACCCATCGGCTTTCCTCTGTCTCTGGCTCTCAGCGGTCGGAATCAATTAACTCATCCACAACCCGCTCAAAAGCTGCTCAACACCGTATCTCAATCTGGGATTAATGTGTTGTCCATTTATTTGTTTGCTAATGAGTGGTCGCCATTAACAAGAGATCGAGGTTTACTCGCTCTCTAAGGCTTACTGAGATGTTTATCCTTTGAAAGCATCTCAGAGGATCAGCTAAGTCAAAGCAAAGACAATTACTGGTCAGAGTAATGAGGGATTGGGGGGGAAAATACTTTTATTATGTACATGCTAATGTATTTTGAATGGCTTGAGCGGTCCGTTGAATACATTTAGTCAAGTTTTGATAAGATGGGGCGTCGCGAGTCTACCGCTCTGGGTAATGAGCACCGGATTGATGTCTTACTTCACGATCCCGCTCTGTTTCGACATTTTCTTCTCAGATAGGATGTGTCACATCATTGGGAATTAATGAAGCTCCGATGTATTTGGACTCGTGATGATTGGCGTCTTGTCATATGGGAAAACGCAATGGAAAAAGCTCTTAATGAAATCCTCTTTAATTAACTTCAGCTTGATGTGAAGAGACAAGTGAATAATTAAACAAACAGCGAATCCACATAAAAGGAACGGATAACTTAATTCGGCACTAATGGAACAGGTTAAACATCATCTCTGAATTCAGAGTGTTTCGGTGCATCTGTCAAAAGCTTCTCACAGTAGCAAAAGGCTCTATCACCTCCGGATTCTTTATGCCTTTATACCAAAGAGAGAGAGAGAGACGCAGGGCCAGATGGAGGGGAGAAAAGATTAGGATTTTATAATTCGCCTGCCTCTGGCCCCCACGCTGCTCATCTGCAAACGTTTGATAAGCATGACGAAGATTTCAGCAGAGAAGAAGAGAGATGGGGAACGGGAGAGAGGAAAACAAGGAAAGAAAATCGCATTTCCTCGACAATTTTTTTTCCAAGCGAGTCCCCTATATCTGCTTTCATGGTGAAAATACAAAAAACAATGGTATACATTTGCAACAGGGGCCAATGTAGACTTCTGTCTATCTCCTCTAAAACAAAGCTACATTTAGAAGATAAGAGAAAGTGCTTCCTAATGGAAATCCTATCATGTGCTCCACAACAGATAAAAGGGTTCTATATGTGAATGACTTCCAAAGCTATAGAAAGGTATTCTCCAGGGTAAATAGGGGTCTAATGGAGGCATCTAAAAATAATTAAACGGCCAACCGGCAGGTGTAAAGTTATCAGACACACTGTGGAAGAACTGAATGATATTTCTGATGTTTTCAGGATTAAACGTGCTGAAGTTGTAGATGCTCAGCAGTCTTCTATGGGTTCATTAGGCTGTAGGGCTCTCTTTGGTTCACAATATTGTACAAGATTGATTTGGGTTGTGTGTGTATATGCATGAGAGGCTTTTTGGAAGTCTTTGGAACTCTTTGAAAAGTTTTGCGGGAGCTATGAACTTTTGCAATCTACTGTTTCTACTTTAAGAGCAAACTTTAACCAGATAACGAGACTACAAATCTTAAAATGTACGTTCTTTGAAATGGCCTTCTTTAATAGTAATGCTGTTTTCTCTCAGAACAATCCAGCAAACCCTTCATTTGTTCAGCTAATGCTGATGTGATTTAATGCAGTATTTTGAATGTGAAACCGTATGTGAGGGATTTGTGCGAAATTGCTGTTATCTGAATAACTTGGTCATAAAACTTGTTCTGATGTTTAATTAATTAATTTAATTAAAATTTAAATTTAATTAAACAACAATATACTAACACAGTCTGCTTAAGCAACTAACACACAAACAATTAATAATTTTTATTTCCTTTTTTTTATTTTTATAGCATGTTATATGTCATAGACACGTCAACAGAGATGTTAGCATGTTCCAAAGATGCCATACAAGTCTTTAACTGACACTCTTGGTTTCTTGAACTGTCCTTTTGCTCTCATCTTTGTAGGACGCCCACTTTTATGGAAAGTAGCAATGTTGCTGAACTTTTTCCATTTGTAGATAGTTTCTCTTACTGTGGACTGATGAACTTTGCAGCTTTTAGAGATATTTTTATAACCCTTTCCAACGTTATGCTTAATCTTATGCGTTCTGAGATCTCATTTGCCTAGGGAAATGGTTCATACCTGGCAATGCTACTTGTGAATAGCAAACTTTGTGAGAGTGTTTTATTTATAAAACAGCTGAGCTCTATCTCGTCTCATTGTTTGGACTCCAGGTTAACTGACTTCTGTCTCCAATTAGCTTTTATAGAAGTCATTAGCCTAAGGATTCACCCTTTTTTCCACCTTGCACTGCGAATGTTTACACTGTGTGTTCAGTAAAAGCATTAAAACGTATCATTATTTGAGTAGACTGTTTGTTTGCTCGTTGTTGTGTATAGATCACATCAATTGACCAATTTATGCAGAAGTCCAAGGTAAATCCAAAGTTTCACATATGTTTGTCACTGTTAAATCTCTGACAATATATGCACATGCAGTGTGAGAGGGTACACAGGTCAGAAGGTGTAGTCTCCTTTGCATGATTTATTTATGTTTTATTAATTAGTGAATATTTAAATAGCATAAAAGTCATAAAGGTTAGTATTAATGTAAAAATATGGAGCACATTCCCTACTGTTTTCCTCTAACTTTAGCCTCCACTGAAAAATCTAATCCTGTCCGGGGTTGAATGTATCTCTGATTTAGTTTCCCCACCCCTCCCCCCTTGCTTCTCCTCATTTACTTTGACCATATTTGAATATGCTGTGATTAAAGCTAAATTTCTCATTGTGCTGCCTGGAGCACCTTCATTATGCATTTAGATGCCCCCCCCAACTTTCTAATAAAAACAGCCTGAACATCTAATATAATCAGGTATGATATAAATTATATATATATATATATATATATATATATATATTTTTTTTTCTCTTTATATTATTGTATGTAAGCATTTCATTGTAATAATTAATAATTTAATGTATATTTTATTTAATTTTATTTATTTGTATTAAATGTATTAAATTCTTGCCATGTCATAAAACAACCAAATTAAAATAAAATAGAATTATCTCTCTTAATTATGTACACAGTGTGATATCACATATACAAGTTTTGTTCATGATAAATAGTCACCTATCACTGTCTGGGATCAAATATTATTCCTTGGTGTAACACATGCTCACTCAATCACCATTTTTAAAACACTATAATGATCTTAAATTAAATGCTCTTCAGGTAAATGCTAAGTGGAAACATTTGCCTCTGGTTGTTTTCTAATTGACAAAAGAAGTGTGTGTTTAATGTGTAGACGTCTGTCTTATGTATCCCTCTATTACTATTTTCATTGAAGTTTCATTCAATCACATGATGTGCCCTGAAACGCACACGCACACACTCCCACCTTCAGTCACCCATTCTGTGCCTGACCTGTGTCTCAGATTTGTAATTACAGCTTTCACTTGTCAGTAATCACAGGTAAAGCCCATTGAATGTTTGGGGCGGTTGGTGCTTGTTGTGAAACCCATGGGAGCAAAGCACTTACACTGCAGTTTAGACAATTTACTGCCTCTCAATGCGCAGCAATCACAGTTGAAAGATAGAGAACCAGTAAGATAAGGGTCATTGGCCAAGGAGAATTCACCCACACCAACATTTCAGTTTTTCTGCATAAGTATTGTTTTTGTAGTTTTCTGTTTTACTCCTCCGCCTATTCTTCTATTTCTCCCTGTTTAACATTCTTGTCTGTCCTTTTTGACCACAGAACGTTTCTCATTGCAAGGCACCAATCAATGCATCTTTCTTTGTCACATTGTTATGGTCACCACTCACCATCAATTCAGCCAAATAACAACAGGGTCAGTCTCTCTGTATGAAACAAGCAAAACAACCCAGTTGCAAGCAGAATAAACATATCTCTAATGGTAAATCTAACTCTTCGGCTGTCATTCTTAAGTCTGTCCTTGAGGGATGCTTTGCTTTACCTAATATTTCTCATACTGTGATCGGAGAAAGAAAGAAGGAAAATGCCAGCAGTGATCAGACTTATGGAGCCAATGCATCACCAGACATAAAACAAAATAGGCTACGTATCTGGTATATATATCTCTGAGATATGTATGGATTCATATGCTTATTTATATATTTTCAGTTTACATTGTGGTTGTGACAAACTATAAGCTCATTCACCTTAAATGGAAAAAAAAATAATTATGACACTACCATTATATGATGCTTTATAAATATATGTAAAGCATTATCATAAATATTGGGCAGTGTTATATTTTTTAAATTAACCTCTTCCTTTTGTCAGGATATTTATTTTATTGTTTATATACATACATACATACATATACAGTGGGTATAGAAAATAACCACCCCCCCCCCTTTTAAATAATCACATTTTGTTGCTTTGCGGCCTGAAATGAAGACAGTTGGGTAAACTTGTAAACTCAGTCAGGTGTAGCTAATCACCTTCTCAATGGCAAACAAAGATATTGGACTTTCAACTGTGATGAGCTGTGGTCATTTTGATTATCTCAGCATGAAAAGAGCTCTCCTGGAGCATTTCAGTCCTTGGTAGTGCAACTGAAGCAAACAATCAACTATGGGTGGCAAGGCACTGTCAAAAGATCTCCGGGATAAAGTTGTGGACATGCACAAGTCAGGAGATGGATACAAAGAAATTTCAAAGGTTTTATCAATGCCTAGAAAAACAGTGAAGTCTATTATTAAGAAGTGGAAGGTATTTGGTACAACACAGACCCTCCCTGGATCAGGACGTCACTCCAAGAGCCAGGAGGAAACTGATCAGAGAGGGTCTGTGTTGTACCAAATACCTTCCACTTCTTAATAATAGACTTCACTGTTTTTCTAGGCATTGATAAAAACTTTGAAATTTCTTCAAAAAAAAACTCTGAAGCAGTTGCAGGAATTTATGACAAAGAGTGGTCATTGTGTACATGTGAAAACAATATAAAAAATTCTCCACAAATGCGGCTTGTCTGTAACCTAGATCATGTATTCAGCCAAACTGTTATGAACAAAGAAAATTTTAGTAACAAAGCTATCTTCTGGAAAGCTCTTTGTTTACATTGACATGAATTTGAGCTTAATTTAACCAAACTAAACTGATTTGGACTGAGCTCGATTAAATTTCTTGTACTCTACTTTCCAACAGGTTGCAGTGTGACAAATTCCCAGAGTCTTTTGGCTCTTCCTCCATCGCTCTCCCATGTGGTCCAGCCCTGTGATGCCCCTCAGGGTTTTACGGGAGGAGGTGTCCCTGCTTTAACGGTCCTCCAGCTTAACGGTATAGCACATCATCTCCCTAAACCACCAAACCTTGACTTCATATCCCCAGAACTCAGGAGCTCTGCAGTTATACAGCTCTGGAGAAATTATAAAAGTACATCATGTGGGATTTGCTGATAATTCCAGAAGAGGTTTTAGCAGAGAATTCCCTTATCTTGTTGTAATGACTATTTTTATTTATCTTCTTTCTCACTCTCTTTTTTTTTATAGCTTCACTCTAATGACAGTGAGATTAGTCTTTTTGAGGATCACAGTATTATGACATATGGAAATGTAGTATGCAAAAGTCTTCAGAGATGACAATATCAGTCTTTTCATTACATTGTTTTATACGATAATAATCTTCAGGCCTGAAACATGAGAATGGCCAAGGAATTGCATGTGGGTGATTCTGTTTTACATACTTAATGTGGAATCTTCCACTATTGTAGTGGAACAGACCTGATAGACCTTCAAATATCCTGCCATTACACTGAATATGTTTTTACTAAGTTTAATCCTGCTCCACAAGGCTTTTCAAAACACTTTCCCTGCCATGACAGTAGTTGAAAAAAATAAATAAATTTGACATTACAAGATGCCCGTTATAACATGTCTTGCAGCAATGCTGAGAATGCAACATGTATTTGGATTGCATCATGAATTGCATTCTGACACATTTTAGAATGCAGTGATGTGTGAAATCAAACTTGCAGCTAGAAGCATTCAAACAGTTAGGCAGAGTGGTGGGTCGTGACTCAAAAAAATTGATCTTTTCTGATTGGATAAACTGTGTAATCATACATAGTTAGGATAGATAAAAGGACTGGTTCACTTCCAGCATAAAAATGTCCTGATAATTTACTCACCCCTATGTCATTAAAGATGTTCATGTCTTTCTTTCTTCAGTCGCAAAGAAATTAAGGTTTTTGTGGAAAACTTTCCAGGATTTTCCTCCATATAATGGACTTAAATGGTGGCCAACAGGTTGAAGGTCCAAATTGCAGTCTCAATGCAGCTTCAAAGGCCTCTACACGATCCCAGCCGAGAAATAGGGGTCTTATCTAGCGAAACAATCGTCCATTTTCTTAAAAACATTACACAGATGAAGAGCTAACAGCACCGTGACCTTTCCAACGTGATTACATAATGTGTGAAATTGCGGATGCGCATCACGGAGCTAGTGCAAGATGTGCATTTGTGGTTAAAAAGTATGAACATTTTTCACTAGATTAGACCCCTATTCCTCGGCTGGGATCGTGTAGAGCCCTTTGAAGCTGAATTGAAACATGCAAGTGTGTGCATGTCTGTGCAACAGTATCCATTCTGGTTTATCTGTACACTGAAGAGCAGGCTGCTTGTGACTGTGGCAGACATCAGTGCCACATAATGTCATGTCCTGCAAAGATAGTTGAGACAGCCAGTGAAAAATAACACAGTGGCTCCCACACGTCTTTGGGCCACGAGTGGGCCGTTACAGGAGGGGTGTGTGTATGTCAGCATGATGAGATGGCAATAAAGAGAGTGCTTCAACATGCTCTTATACATCACAGAGAGGCCCTATTGTCTCCAATGCAGTGTAGATCTTTCTCTCTCTCCCTCTCTTTCTCTCTCTGTAGGAAGGACTACAGTTGGAATTTAGGTTTAGGAAAAACACTGACAGGCTCTTTTTGATCCTTCGTCTTTTGATCCTCTGTCGTTCTGTCTTTATTGGTGTTAAATCACAGGATTATGTTAGTTGTGATGTTGAATCGCATTGAAGCATGAATCTCAGTGCAGGTATATCTGAAAGCGGGTCTCATTGGGTGGGAGGGATAACTGGAAAAGACCCAGATGGATTTGAGGCCAAATGGAGGTTGAAAAGGGGCCCCAGAGGAAGTGAGGAGAGACAGCATGTGTGTCTCATAGGGCGAAAGATGTTGTTTATGCGTGTGTATATGTGTGTTGCAGCAAGCAATGCCAGACGAGCCCGCCGATTGCCAGAAATTGACAGCGAGCTGGCCAGACTGCTTCAAAGCACCATGAGGGAAGTAGGCGGAGCCGCACGGCATCAGCAGGCTGAAGCGAAAGAAGTGCACCAGAGAAAGATTGACAGAATGGCAGCTGTCCGTCAACACGAGGAGCAGAAGGCCACGCCCCCTTTTCAGGACAGCTCAAACATCACGGTAAGAAAGAAGAACGGTTTTCAATAGAGCAGGATCGAAAAGCTGTCGGTCTCAGCATGAGCTGATTGACGTTCACTAGCGCTGTGCTCCATGTGATCCTGAAGGGATAGTTCAGACAAAAATCTATTATTTATTCACTCTCATGTCATTTCTAACCCATTTGACTTTCTTCTTTCATTGGATCGAGTATTTGTTAAATCTAGCTAACAAAATATGTATTGTGTGTTTGAGTGGTCCAGACGCTACACTTGATTCATTGAAAAGATACATTTTCAGTTAATAATGAGTTAAATTTTCATGTGTTCCTTTCACAAAGCTATCATATGACTTCAGATGACTTGAAATATAGAGCACGGGTCGAATGGGACACTTTTGTGATACTTTATTTTGCTTTTTTGTGATGTTGAAGCTTGAGAGCTCCAGTTCTCTCATTCACTTTCGTTATTCGCAAAAGAGCTCCCATTCAACTCAACTTTTATGAAAGATAGTAAGTCATATGGGTTTCAAAATTTTACTTTTTGGGCGATCTATTGTGTTCCTTTCAAAGCATGAGCTTTATTTTTAGCTCCTAAGAGGAAACGACTGAAAATGAGCTGCATTATTCACCAGTTCCTCCCACTCTGTGAGAATGATTAAATCAAACCTAAATTCACTCTTTTTTCACTCAACAGCCTGGCACAGTCTTGCCATGCTTCAGGCACATCAGTTTTATTCGTTTCTAGGTCTTTCCGGTGCAGTTTCAGCATGTGAATTTCCTTTCTTTCAGAGGCATCGGGCAGAGCGTGTGCAGCATTCCCGTGACCTGCGTGTGATTGAGGCCTATCGTGAGCGCTGTAAAGCACAGGAGATCACCAACATGCTCTCTCAGGTCATCACTACCAAACACACTCTCTACGCCACACTCGGAACGGCAGAGTTCTTTGAATTCGTGCTCAATAATCCATTCAATGTTCCTCAGACTGTCACCATTGAATGTGATGACCCAGAGCTCAGGTGAGTTATATTAGGCCTTTGAATGCAATACATCAGTGGTTGTCAAACTTTTCAAGTTCTACCAAATATGAGCAATGAAATACCATCTAGGCACATTTATATCTCAACGTGAGCCACATAATGTCATATTTTGATTCATGTCAATATTCCTGCAGTTAGATTATGGAGCTTAAAGAACTTAGACCGCCTTTTATAGGCCTGTGGAAGGACCCCATTAGAGCAACAGTCTGGCAGAACTTCTATTTCAGACTGGTTACATTATTGATAACATACATTATTAACTGAGTGCTGAGGGTCAAAAGCAAGTCACTCTTAAAGCTTAACTTAAAGAAACTGAGCGTCTAGATGCCGCTCGCAAACAGAATAATTTCTTGTGTTTTTGTTAATCCCTTCGGTTTTTGCAGCTCTCTTTGCACGTGCATTGAACTAAAACAGTGCATATATCACCATACCAACATGCGGCTTAAATGGATAGTTCACCCAAAATTTGTAATTATTTAAATTTAAATTTACAATACTCTGCCTCATGCCTTTCCAAATCTGTATGCTCTTTCATTATTATTTAGAACATAAAAGAAGATATTTTGAAGAAGTATATAGAATAAAAAAAAAAAAAACTTTAATCTACCCAGCTAACAAATATATGTTCTAAGAGTAATTTTCTAACATGAAAATGTTATTTCTTAATGTTCTCTAAATGTTCTAAATTTTTTTGTTATGCAGTCATTCCATTTGATTATTTTTAAACATTATGGGAATGTCACTTTTGACTGTTCTCTAAATATTCTGAAACAGATAGTAACAAATGTTAGTTGAATGCAAACTAAAACATTTAATTAAAAAGTTTCATGACTGATGTATAGTAAAAATAATGTTTTATGCTGACATTTTGAGAACATGAAAGACCAGATAACTTTGAACAAACATTCTATTGAAATGACCAGACAAAGGTTTGTTCAATACTTTGAGACCTTTGAACCTTGCCACAATGTTCGCCAAAGTTCTGAGAATGGTCCCTGTTAGTTGGGTATCTATTTGTCTAGTTATCCATTCATCTATCCATCCTACTTTTGGCCTTTTGCCTCTTTATTAGAGAGATTTTGTAACTAAGTCAAATTTGTTAATACTGTTAGTAATTTCTATCAGAACAACAGTGTGATGACACTTTTATATGGAAATCTATGAGTGTGTGTGATAGTGAGTTTTTGTCTGAGGTGTTTGGACACTATAGTACCGTAATGTGTGCTTTCATAATAAGAACACTGCCAAAAATAATTTAATACATTCTCATGTAAATGCAGATGCCCTAAGAAAACCGCTTTAATGTTAATATGTACATACCATAGTAAGCCTATACTTTAATCATGCTCAGCAGGCACTTTGTCCATTCAAAGATCAAATAAAGCCTTTGCCTCTGGCATTACAGCCCTGAAAAAAAAATTGTGTGTAGATCAATGTTTCGTTCACATGTGAACAGCCTAAAAATGAACATCTGAATGAATGAGTTTTCCTCAGCGGGGCATTACAGGGGCCAAGAGCTTCCCAGGGGGTAGGAAATCAACACTGAATAAATAATCAGTTCCCCGCATTCAAGCTTATTTTAATTGCAGCTTGATGTAAAATATCTTCCCCCGTCCAGGTCCCGTGTGAAGCTCTAGATGCACAATCCAGGATTATACCACACAAAATCTGAGTTTTCTGCAAGCCATAGACTGAGTCCGCACACGCCATCATGATGAGCACAAGCCAAGAAAGTGAGAGAGAGAAGTTAGGAGGATGAGGTGGAATAAATTACAGCATTAAAACCCTAGCATTTCTCAGCGTTTAATTAGGAAAGACATTAGTAGCCTAAACTACACACACACACACTGTGCTTTAGGACAAGATAAATATTCTCCGCTGCCTCTCTCCATGAAGTATGTTTGAATGGCAAACGTCTTCCCAGTTTGCATTGTGTTGTGGCATAAAACTGAAGCACTTTGTGATGTGTCATGGAGGTAACTGCTCACCCAGGAGTGGTGTGTTTGTCTGTGCGTGAACCCTGTGAGTCAGTCTAAAGCACTCTTGTATGCACAGAGCTGTGCCAGGGAAACAAATACCTGAGATCTGGAGTTTGCATTTGTACATTTGTGTTGAATTGATGCTTCTCTCTTCCAGTGCAAAGGAAATGTCAGGCCTGTGTTTGTATTGCTGATGTATGCCACAAAGCCAACCTTATAAAATCACCTCTCTCTTTCACTTTTACTGAAGAAATTGTTTCTCATCTGTACTCGCACATTATATATGGACAAGCTGAACCAACGGAGCAGCGGGTTAAAGGATACGCCAGATTTCAGCAGAGCTGCTCCATTCTTTCTGCCTAATTCATTTTATCCTCTCAAGGTCCCGCAGCTCATAATTTGTTTTCAGTCCTCTGAAGCAGTTTTTTTTTAGTTATACTTCAGCTGAATTTTATTTTCTCTCGCTCTCTCTCTCTCTCTCTCTCTCTTTAAGATTTAAAGTAATTGGTGTGATTGTTCTGTATTTCCAATGCATCATTAGAAACACAAAAAGAACAAAATTTGATTTTATACACTACACATTCTAATTTAGATCAATACTTTTATTCATCAAGGACGCATTCAATTGATCAAAAGTGACAGTAAAGACTTTTTTTTTTTTGAAAATGCTTTTAAACTTTATAATATATTCATCAGATTCCTGATAAAAAAACAAAAAACAAAAAAAACGTCTCTGTTACGTATGGTAACCCTCATTCCCTGAAGGAGGGAACGGAGACATCACGTCGGATGACCGACGAAATTGGGATCTCGCTGAGAGAGACCAATCTACTTCGAGTGAAAACTAAACGAGCCAATACACATTGGCATGCGATTATTGCATCCAGCTGTCGCTGATCACAGCGTGAGTATAAGTAGGCAGCAGATGCAGCGCATATTCAGGTTTTCGCTGAGGAGCTGAGCTGGTGACCCGGCCGCTCAGCGGTGGTACAGGAGCTGTGGCGACGGGACGTGACGTCTCCGTTCCCTCCTTCAGGGAACGAGGGTTACCATACCTAACCGAGACGTTCCCTTTCAGTCGGTCACTCTCGACGTCACTTTGGGATCCTACCAAAAGGCCACAGCTACTGCTCCTTCCAGTGTCCTGTGGAAGCCACCTGCGCCCCTACTTTATGGTGTATGCCAGGGCTTGCACAAGAGGACCAGCTACTGCTGCTATGGCACTACCCACTGAGTAAGACTGGATAACATTCAGAAAACGTACCCGTTCTACTTGGAGCAGGGACGTTGCGGAAGCTCCAACCTTCCCGAAGGAGGTTTCGGAAGCAATACACAT